AGCAAAAATTTTCCATTTTTTTACTTAAATTCAATTAGCCAACATGTAGTACATCATTAGATTCAGATGTAGTGTTCAATAATTCATCAGTTGCATGTAACACTCAGTGCTCATCACATCACGTGTGTTCCTTAATGCCCATCACCCAATCTATAAAAGCTTGAAAAATGGTTAGGCATATTAAACCAGATATGGTTTCAAGATCTGGAGTTTAATTCCTCTATAGACACAGTGAATATGTTTACCAAACCCCACATTAGGATACTTTGTCTGACAAAATGTGTTCATGCAACTCTCAAGTGAGACAATAAATCACAGGTAATAAGAACCAAGTTGGTTATCTCTGTTCTATGGCCTTTGGTGACATCTTTTAAAGACATTCAGTTATCTCACTAAATGTGTGTCATGAGTATGATAACTGTGTATTCTAACCTAGCCTTTTAAAAGCTCTGTGGCTTACTAACCACTGGTCATATGAGACAACACATGGCTATTATCCTTCCTAACGTGCCACATATTTGAGTAGCACAGAATAGAAATTTGGCCCATAAATATCCTCTTAGAGTCAAAGAAGGAAATATTTTTAACTCCTTTAAGGATGTAAGAGAACCAGTCTTCAACCTGTCATATTTGTGAATACAGATGTGGGAAAATTTTGACTAACAAGGCTTTTATAAATGATTAGGAAAACAATAATTTGTAAGTCAAAATAAAATAATTAATTTTAAATAATAAAAACAGGGGCACCTCAGTGACTCAGTGGGTTAAAGCCTCCACCTTCCGCTCAGGTCATGATCTCAGGATCCTGGGATCAAGTCCTGCATCGGGCTCTCTGCTCAGCGAGGAGCCTGCTTCCTCTTCTCTCTCTCTCTCTCTCTCTCTCTCTCTGCCGGCCTCTCTGCCTACTTGAGATCTCTGTCTGTCAAATAAATAAAATCTTAAAAAATAATAAATACAATAAATAAAATAAATTTTAAAACAATAGTTTGTAAGAGCAAAATTAAAAAAATAATAATGTGTATTTTCTCCCAGAGATGCAAGTGAACATGGGAGTTTCCAACATATTCACATATCCACATACAAAAGAATGAAATTGAACCCCTATTTCACACCATTCACAAAAATTAACTCAAAATGTGTTAAAGATTTAAATAACCTGAAACTGGAATATCCTAGAAGAAAGCATAGGGGAAAAACCTTCTTGACATTAGTCTTGGCAACATTTTTTTGGATATGACACCAAAAGCACAAGCAACAAAAGCAAAAATAAATAAGTGAGACTACATCAAACTAAAATTTCTACACAACAAAAGAAATCATCAACAGAATAAAAAAGCATCATATAGAATGGTAGAAAATATTTGCAAACCATCTATCTGATAAGGGGTTAATATCTAAAACATTAACTTCCTTTCTCTGACCAGTCAATAACCTACAAATTTTCCTTTCTTTTAAAAATTCTAGTTTTGGGGGCCACCTGGGTGGCTCAGTGGGTTAAAGCCTCTGCCTTCGGCTCAGGTCATGGTCTCAGGGTCCTGGGATCGGGCCCCCGCATCGGGCTCTCTGCTCGGCAGGGAGCCTGCTTCCTCCTCTCTCTCCGCCTGCCTCTCTGCCTGCTTGTGATCTCTCTCTCTCTCTCTCTGTCAAATAAATAAATAGATGTCTTTAAAAAAAAATTCTAGTTTTTGGTAGCTGTCATGCCCCATCCAAAACTGGTAACCTGATTCTAGACATTTCCTTATACATTAGTTAGTAGTTTCTGAACCCTATCCCAACTCCAGCCCATTCCTTTAGCTTAGTTGCTATCCCTCTATGTGTACCAATTTCCTAGGGCTACTGTAACAAATTACCACAAACTGGGTAGTTTAAAAGGAAAAAAAAACCTGTTCTTTCACAAGTCTGGAGGCTAGAATTCTGAAGTCAAGGAGTCTGCAGGGCTATTTTTTCCTCTGACTCGTCTAGGGAGAAAATCTTCCTTGCCTGTTGGCAATCACCAACAATCCTAATTTTTCCTTGACTTGTATATACATCCGTTCAATTTCTACTTCTGTCCTCATATGGCTTTCTCTCTGGGTATCTGTGTTCAAATATCCCTCTTCTTAAAAGGACACTTGTCTTTGGTTTTAGGGCCAGCCCTAATCCAGTATAACTTCATCTTAACTTGATCACATCTGCAAAGACCTTATTTCCAAAAAAAAGTCAGATTCACAGGTACAGATGGTTAGAACTTCATATTTTTTGGAGGACACAATTCAACACAAAACATCCTGACCTAACTCTCAGGCCTGATTCCATAAACTGAAAACAGCAACACATGCCTCTTCCTATCACTGCTACAAGCATCTAACCAGTATAATTATTTAATGCTTAATTATTTGGCAAGAACTGGAGTTAAGCCAAGGTGGCAGGATTTTTAGACATACTTTAGTTACTGGAAAGTTTTTGATCCATTTCTGACACATGGCCCCATTTACAAACAGTGGCACGCTCAATAAGATTGAAGTAGCCTTAAATGTGTGGAATTAAAACCTATCAGTTTCATCAGTGGGAAAAAAATAGAGGTGTTGACATCCTTATGTAGCATGTAACATCAGTAGAAATGGTAGAGAGTTCTTTTCCTTTTGATTTTCTTTGATGAGTTGGCTTTATTTTAATGAGAGAACTTGTAGGAATCTTCTTGTAGGCTTTATTTTAATGAGAGAACTTGTAGGAATCCTCATATACTTTGAAGTGGATGATTTATAAAAAGAGATTTGACAACAAACAAATAATATATTTAAGGATCACATTTCTGAAATCAGTTCATCTTTTGCATTTACTCACTGATATGTTACCAAAGATATTAACAATATTATTCAGGCACACCATCCCTCATTTGATTATTCTATAAGTAAAAATTGTTGTTGTCTTTCTCATGAGAGCTGTGGCTAGTGACAGTCCTTTTGTTTGAATACCCCTGTATTTTCTACAGCTGTAGCAACAAACCCACAAATTAGGTGGCTTGAAACAACAGAAATTTATTCTCTCACAGTTCTCAAGGCTAGAAGGCTACAGGGTCATTTTCCCTCTGAAAGCTCTAAGGAAGAAGATTTTTTTCCCTCTTCCTAGCTTCTAGTGGTTGTCAGCAATCCTTGGAATCCCATGGTTTTTAGCTGCATCACTCTAGTTTCTTCTGTCTTCACATGGCTATCAAATTTTTGTGTCTGTGTCTGTGTCCGTGTCTCTGTGTCCAAATCTCCCTCCCCTTTCTCTTGCCAAGACTGAAATCACTGGCCACTGTAATCCAGTATGACCTCATTTAACTTGATTACATGTACAAAGACCTTATTTTCAATTAAGGTCACATTCTGAAATTATGCATTAATCTAAATTTGGGAGAGACACTATCTAACTCACTATAGTCCCCAAATTCTGCTAGATAGCGCATTATATTTTCAGTTGAAACCTTACTCATGTAAATATAAATCTGAATTTTTTCTATGACTACAAGTTGAAATATTTTTAGTGATTTTATTTATTTAGAGAGAGAGAGAAAGAAAGAGAGTGGGAGAGTAGGGGGAGAGCTGGGGGAGACAGAGTGAGAGAATCTCAAGCAGATTCTGCCCTGATCATGTAGCCCCTGCCTGGGGATCGATCTCACGACCCTGCGTTCATGAGCTGAGCTGAAACCAAGAGTTGGATGCCTGACTGTGCCTCCCAGGTATCCCTACAAGTTGAAACATTTTAAAAGGCACCAGCCACAAAATGAAAGCTCTGATTCCAAACATCTATGTCCTTTTTTTTTTTTAAATTATAAATCTGTAACTTGTACTTGCACTTAGGATAAGACTAAATTTTTCGAATTCATAATGTTTTCAATAAGAAAGAATCTTTTGGGGGCCCCTGGGTGGTTCAGTTAAGTGTCTGGCTCTTGGTTTAAGCTCAAGTCATGATCTCAGGGTCCTGAGATAGAGCCCTGTATGGGGCTCCATGCTCAGTGCAGAGTTCTTCCCCCTTTGTTCTTCCTCCTGTTTCCATTCTCACTCTCTAAAATAAATAAAAAAATAAAATCTTAAAAAAAAGAATCTTTCAGGACTTTTTCCTTCCATAAATATCATTGGTTCTCATGACTGAAGGCTTACTAAACAGTTTACAGATCATTGGATTACTTATGTATCACTCTTACCTGTGATCCTTATGGGGAAAAAAAACTTGTTTGGTGTATAAGAGGAGTCCACTGGGAATATATGTCTACATAATACCACATAATCAGTTGAAAAATGTTGAGTATTAACATCACCGTTTTCCCTATCTTCAATCTGAAAATTTTACTTTTCATACAGATGCTCTGGTGCCATGTAAATCAACTTAAAGATACTAAGAAATCAGTGCTTTCAAATGGGCAGTTATGTCCACTATTTTTAATACAAACACAGAAAAGCAAAACTACTCCATAAACTTGCTTGATTTTTCAAGTGAGCCAGTTGGAATTTCTTTAAATATTCATAGTTTAGGAGTGCCTGTGTGACTCCATTCGTTAAACACTGAACTTATGATTTCAGCTCAGGTCATGGTCTCATGGGTCTTGGAATAAAGCCCCGCATGGGGCTAATTTAACAATTCTGTACATTACTCAGTGCTCTTCAAGAGAAGTGCACTTTTAATCCCCTTTACCTATTTCACCCATCCTCCCACCTCCTCTTTAGTAACCATCATTTTGTTCTCTACAGTTAAGAGTCTATTTTTTGATTTGCTTTTTTTTATTTTCTTTGCTCATATGTTTTGTTTCTTATATTCCACATATGAGTGAAATTATATGGTATTTGTCTATCTCTGACTTATTTCACTTAGCATTATACTGTCTAGTTCTGTGTTATTGCAAATAGCAAGATTTCCTTTTTTATGGCTGAATAATATTCATATATATACACATATATATCCATCCTCTTTATCTATTCATCCATGAATACTTCTTGATTATATGGATAGCATTTAATGTTTATTACTATCCTGTGTTTCAGGGACTCCATGAAAAAACTGGTGCATTTACAGCTGTTAAAGTGATGAATGCTCGTAAGGTAATATATCTTGTCCATATTCTGTTCACTTAATAGACTGTGGTATTGAGGTAAACAGCTCGGAAAATATTTGTTTTTAAACATTATTATACATAATTATAATTATGTTAATCTGGATTTTTATATTTGTCATTTAATATTATTTCTGTTAGTATAGTATCTTTGTTATAGATTTAATATATTTACACATAAAAAATGTTTCACAGCAAAAGGTCCACATATTTTGGCATTCTATAAGAATGAAGAAAATATCTATATTCCTATTTCTAGTTGATTATCTGTTTCTAGGGATAGCAAAGAGGGAAGTTCCTCTGATATTATGTTCATCCTTCTGTGTTCCATCACATATTTTTCCCTGTCCCAACCTTTCTTTTTGAGAACTGAGGCCATTAGATTCTCAGTGATGGGTAGAAGGAAAGAACTTGTCAAAGATGTACATTTTTCAGGCATTTTCTGACAGATGAGCAAGAGAGAGTTTAATTGGCACTGTTCCTGTTAGCATTCATAAATTTGGGTCATGGTTCATAGCATATTGTCATAGAATTTGCTAAGCACTGATTTCTGTCTTCTTTCTTCAGCATGACTGCCTCACTTTCTCAAGATAATATTAGCATGAACATAGCAAAGGTCAAAAAATTTTCACTTCACTATACCCTAAAGAAAAATTATCAAATGTTATGATTGACAAACTATATATATTCACTGAACTGTTGTCAATGTCATAAACTCTTCTTTTCCAATTTGTGCAGGGAGTGAATTGCTGAAATGATTTAAGGAGTTTTACATCTTTTATTTTGCCAGTAAACGTCAAATGTTGAAAAAATGTTGCAAATTTGAATTTCAAGAGATTTTGAAGTTTTGTGGATTTATTTTGCCCTACAAACCATGGCTTCCAAATAATAAACCTAGTACTTTTTGAGTGCTACCTTCTAAAATACTTATTTCCTTGTTTTGACTTGAAAGAACTTTGACCTACATTTAATCTACATTTTAGATACTTCAACTTTTGAAATATTCATAAAGTGTGTTCAGCCCATAAATAGTATCAATTACTTTGTTTTGTAAGAGAAATAACACTTTACTAACATCAACTTGTAATTTTCCCATCAATATGGCAGTTAAATCTGTTACTGTGAATTTAGTGCCAAGTTTCTGTATATATAAGAATCTTATTTAAGTAAAATTATTAGTGAAAATTGAGAGGAAGAATATCATGTTACTCTTCCATTTAGTGCCAAAAGAACACAAAACAATTAAAAATAAATCATTTTCAGAGTGTACCAATGCATCTAATAACATTTTGTTCTTGGTTTTACAGACTGCTTTACCTGAAATAGGAAGGAGAGTGAGAGTGAATAAATATCAAAAGTCTGTCGGATGGAGATACAGCGTGAGTACTGAAAGTCCCCATTAGCTCTCAAGTTGTCTTTCCTTTAACTTTCAAATTTAACCCTTTGTATCATTATCTCTAGAAGGCTGCCACTAACCTGGAAGTGATAACATACTATCTTTTAACACATTCACATAGATTCAGTCATTACATTTGAACACTAACATCTGTCAGAAAGTTGGAGCTAGAAGAAATGTTTCCCTGAACAGGTAAGTATTGACAGCAGGTGAAGGATTGATTATATCTACAGAGCATAGAGCCCTGTAGCTGAGTAGCAACACAAAAAATAATAAAACCAAGAGAAGATTTTGCCTTAAATTGGCCTTTTCATGTCTTTTTTAACACCTTTACAGGATATTTCAGACTGGTTATTCCCCTAGTATGATTCTAAGAAACATTGCTATTGTATATGAGCTAAATGAGGACTACTCTTTTTTGTTGTAAGAACAATAGCAGACAAAACCATAGGTTATCCAACCTAAAAGTCTTCCTGGCCATAGTACTCAAATATATAAAAGAGTGTGAAGATACTTTCTACTTGAAGCTTTTTAACTGTCTTACAAAGCAGTCTCTATGATTCTAATAATTTTCTGGCTCTTGAATAAGATCAGACAAATAAAATTCTTTTTTGGTAGATATTAGTGATCTATCAAAATATTCTGTGGGCCTAAAAGCAGAATTCCTGCTCTTATCAATATAATTCGTTGATATCTTTTTTTTTCCTACTTTCCTCCTTAGCTATCTGGTATTGAATATTTTCAACCTTTTTTGTCTTAATATATATGATCTCAGGATGTAAAATAACTTTTTCCACTAACACAATCACATTCAGAAAAACTTTGTATTTATATTAGAAAAGTATTGATAAACAGCTTCATGATTCATCTAGTAATCACCAGGCTCTTGTTTTGTTTAGAGTGTATCTCAGGAGACAAAGCATATCCAAATGAAACAGATAGTACTGATTAATAACATGCTTTGGTAGATCAAGAAGCTGCAAAGGGTAAAAATTAAAAATATAATTGTCTGACTAATTTTGCTTTCATCAAACATTTCTGTTAATAAATTCCCTTCTTCCCCAAACCCTCTCTGGTATTCTTTCCACAGGGAAAAATATTTCGGTTCTACAATTGGGTGAAATTATAAAGGAAGTTGTGGTATCTTTGAGCTGCCTCTTTTTGACAAAAATTAGGATATTCATGCTACTCTGGGATCACCTGGCCTTGAGCCAGGAAATGCTATAGCATCATATTACTAGGATATGTGTGAGAGTTTTAAATTACCCACTTGACCTGATGGATATAATGTACTTATGTGTTTCTCAAAAGCTCGACTTCCTGTTAATTGAGAATGGCAAACACACTAATGCTTTCCAAACATATCTGATCTTGGTTTATTGGTTTTGGGGGAGTTTACATTTATGTGGGAAACTCACTCTTAAAAGTTTCTTTAGTTGGGAACTTTGAACTCTATGATTATAAATTTTAGTAAGAAAAATAACTGCTAGCTGATCAGCCAGTTAGCATCTCTAAATCATCTTGAATCCTTTGGGATAAGTTTGTGACTTGCATACACATCTCTTTGAGTCAGGGCTTTATGGAAATAGCAATAATGTGAAAGTTCAGACACACAAGTTTAAAGCCCATATCTATCATTATATAGCTAAGAAGTACTTGGAAAACTGGTCCTGCCTCTCTAGGCCTCAGATTCCTCATAGGTAAAATGGCACCAGAATATTTGGCCTACTTATAAACAGGTTTCAAAATGTGGTCAAATGCAACTGCATAGCTTCCTGGAGCCCAGCCCTTCTATTCTTGCTTGGGGACATGAACTTTCTAAATCAGAAAGAAGGAAGAAAAAAGCTCTTTGATAATCAAACTACCAAATAAATTAAAGGACTCTGTCTGGCCCCTGCTTCTTTTACATGTTCTTTGTGTTCTTACCCTCACACCATCATCTCATGTCTATGGATCACACTCTATGAATTCATATTCCTTTCAGCACAACTATGGTGTCTTTCTAGGAACTTAGAGCGTACATACAGAATTGGTAGTTCCTGAGGTTTTTTCTATATGATGGCAGATGTTGTTACCACTTCAAAGGACAACCACATCAGAGGGAAAGCAGAAAGTTCAGTATTCCTATATGGAAAGATTTAGTCACAAGGATCAACTTTTAGCTTTGTGGAAAGCAGGTTAACAGATTTCAAAGGGAGCTTATTAACTGAGCTTCCTTGGGAGGCTGGGGTGAGACTGGAACTTGAACTTCTATATAATTCTCATGCTACAAGCTGATTGTTTTATTTATTTCTGCCTTTATTACATAATAAATACAGAGAGAGAAACTGTCATTGGGTTTCCAGCTGGAGAAACCAGGTCCCTCTCCTTCCCCCAAAGACAAATAGGTGTCTAGATTTATTTTCTAGTTGTTGAATATTTATGGGTAAATCCACTGGAAAATTGCAGAGAAATGTCAAAGAATGTTCTGCAGCTGCTAGTCATTTCTCTGAGATTTCAAACTTTTTCCAAGATATATTATGAATACTTGGGGACATTTCAGAACCTAGTACATTGCCTTATATTTATTTCATAACTATTTTTAAAGTCTAACCACACTATTGCTAAATATAAAAAAAATGTCCATCTCTTCTATAGGGTCTCAGAGAATAAGCTAAAACGGAAAATGATAACTGACTAGATACATTCAATTACCTACTAATTTCAGCTAAAATATGTATTTTCCCCTACCCCTAGGTCATCAAGTCAAGCTAATTGAGGGAAATTTGGGGAAGAACTAAAGATAGAAGTTAGTTCCCTAATTACTTTACATGCCACTTGGCCCTTTTCTGATTCATTGCCTCAGAGAAGTCAAAGGTATCCTTTTTCACTGGATTTCAAAACAGGAGCTCAACTATTTTTAATTAAAAAGTCTTCTATTTTTAGTTTTTTGAGGAACCTCCATACTGTTTTCCACAGTGGCTATACCAATTTACATTCCTGCCAACAGTGCAAAAGTGTTCCTCTTTCTCCATATCTTTTCCAACATTTGTTATTTCTTAATTTTTTTTTTAATTTAGCCATCCTACTAGGTAAAATAAGTCAGACTCAGAAAGACAAATACCATATGATCTCACTCATGTAGAATCTAAAAAAAAAAATGAATAAACAAACAGCAGAGTCAAACCTATAAATACAGAAAACAAAGTGATGTTTGCCAAAGGGGAGAAAGTGAAGGGATGGGTAAAATACGTGAAGGGGATTGGGAGATACAGTCTTCCATTTATGGGATGAAGAAGCCACAGGGATGGAAGGTGAGGATAGGGAATGCAGTCAATGGTATTATAATAGTGCTGTGTGGTGAAGGATGTTATCTATACTTGTGGTAAGCATAGCGTAACATATAGAGAAGTTGAATCACTATGTCATATGCCTGAAACTAATGTAACATTGTATGTCAACTATGCTCAAATTTTTAAAAATATAAATAAAAATTACACTTTTTGGTCAAATAGTATTTCTTTACGTACTACAACATATATTTACTTTGTATAAGAGTACTCTTGAAAAGGTTATATAAATTGAACTTTTATAGATGCAGTAGGACTTTTTTATTTATAATCAAATGAAGTTTAGAGCTAGTAGGAATTCAAAGGACCCAGGTGGTTAATCCATTTGTCAAGTATAATCACTTCCTGAGTCATTTCATATCACCCTCAACTTCATTATGCACTATCCTGTATTCATCAATGGTTGTCATTCATGTATGTGAATCTTATTTCCTGCTAGGTAAGGGGACATGATATCTAAATGATATCTAACTGCATAAACCAATGATATGCTCACTGGAAATTCCTAAACAATTTAAGTTACTTTTTTAAAGTTAACATTTTAGAATATTTTTCTTCAATGCATTACACCTGTATACACATAAAGTGTGATGATTTTTAAATTATTGAGAAGCAAAGAGCTTATCTTAGATTGGCTCAAATAGTTACAGATAGATTATGGAACATATGGAAACTACTTGGTTGTCATGGTATAAGGGGACAGCTGAATCTTAGGGAGAGAGAATAATTTCCCATTCCCTCCAGTATAATAAAAGTGATGGAAACAAAAGTTGCTGATGTTTGTAGATTAGGGCAAGAAGTGGAGAAAGCTGCATAGTTCTGATAACACTCAAATGCAAATGAGAAGGTCAAGTAACAAAGATACTGTATGATAATACCCTGCATTTATAACATTCTTCTTTCAAAGACTCCAAAGGACTTTCAATTAATTGTCCCATTTAGCTTCACTAATGTTCCATGGAGATAAATAATGGCTACCAACTTCCATCAGGTTTCTGAGGATAAATTCAACCTCGGGAAGATAAAGTGAATTTCCAACATTTAGTTGTTAGTTGGGGGTAAAACCTAGGTGTCCTAATGCCCAGTGTAGATGTTTTTGTTTTGTTTTGTTTTGTTTTGTTTTTTTGTTTGTTTGTTTGTTTGTTTTTTAGGTAGAGCGAGAAAGAGAGGGTGGGGAAGGAAGAAGCAGAAGGAAAGGGAGAGAGAGAATCTTAAGCAAGCTCCATACTGGGAACCTGAGATCATGACCTGAGCCCAAATCAAGAGTTGGATGCTTAGCTGACTGAGCCACGCAGGAGTCCCTAGATGCTCTTTTCTGATGACATCATACTGTCTTTCACTAAAAATGTCTCTTGAAATTATGTATTCTACCTTGGAAATCCCATACAAAAGGGTGGCTTCAATTATCACTATAGAGATAATCCTCAAAAATAATACCTTTAGCCCTGACCTGTCCCCTGAGTGCACACCCTTATCTCTAATCTGCACAATTCTATGCATCCATAAAAAGGAAGTACATTTATGTTTATTGATATAGAAACATGCAATTTAGGTATTGGGTAAGACATGCAAGTTGCAGAGTAGTGAGATATGTATATATTCTGGAGTAATAAAAATAACTGGAGAAATAAAAATGACTGAAGAAATATACACTCAACTGTTACCACTAGTAGAAGGACATTCAGTAAGTGTATAGCATTTACATGTTTTACTTTACATATATAAATACATTTTATCCATATGTATCACTGTTGTGATTAAGAAAACAAATGACTTTAAGCATATCTTTACAAAAGATTAGCACAGATCAAACCTGTATCTTAAAAATCCAATGAGTCATAAACCAAGTCAGTGTGGTACAGACATAAGGATAGACATACAGATCAGTGGAATAGGACTATTTCCATGTATCTATGGTTAATGGATTTTTTAAAATTTTATTTTATTTTTGCAGTGTTCCAAGATTCATTGTTTATGCACCACACCCAGTGCTCCATGCAATACGTGCCCTCCTTAATACCCACCATCAGGCCCTCCCAACCCCCCACCCCAATCCCCTCCAAAATCCTCAGTTTGTTTCTCAGAGTCCACAATCTCTCATGGTTTGTCTCCTCCTCCGATTTCCCCAAACTCACTTCTCCTCTCCTTCACCCAATGTCCTTTGTGTTATTCCTTATGCTCCACAAGTCAGTGAAACCATATGATAATTGACTCTCTCTGCTAGACTTATTTCATTCAGCATTGACAAGGTTACAAAGACAATTCACGGAGAAAAATAATCTTTTCAACAAATAATGCTGAGACAACTAGATGTTCACCTGTAAAAAATTAACTTACACCCCTCGTTTATATGAAAATTAGCTCAAAATGATCAAAGACTTAAATGTGAGAATTAAAACTATAAAACACGTAGAAGAAAACATTTGGATAAATCTTCATCACTTTAGATTTGGCAATGGATCCTTAGATATGACACCAAAAGTACAAACAAAAAGACAAGAAATCAATAAATCAGACTTTACCAAAATTAAAAATTTTGTTTCTCAAAAGACACTATCAAGATAGTGAAAAGACAACCCACAGAATGGGAGAAAATGTTTGCAAATCATACACCTTATAAAGTATTTGGATCTAGAATATATAAATAAATCTTACAATTCATAATAAAAAGACAAATAACCCAATTAGAAAACAAAGGCAAAGATTTTCAATTAGACATTCCTCTGAAGATCATACACAAATGGCTAATGAGTACATGAACAGATCATTTATATGATTAGTCATCAGGGAATTGCAAGGGAAAATCACAATGAGATAAAAGCCACTAGGATGGCTAAAATGATAAAACAGAAAATAGTAAGTGTTGATGAGGGTATGGAGAAATTAGAATTATCATTACCGTTGGGAGTAAAAATAGGTACAGCGCTTGGAAAACAATTTGGCATTTTGTCAAAATGTTAAATATGGAGTTACCATTTGACCTAACAATTTAATTCCTAGGTATATACCAAAAAGATATAAGAACATATATTTACACAAAAACTTGATATGAATGTCCACAACAGCATTATTTGTAATAGCCAAAAGGTGGGAATAACCTAAATATCTATCAGTTAATGAGTGAAAAATGAATAAAATAATGATATGCTATATAATATGGATAACTTTCAGAAAAAAATCACAAAAGTCCACATACTATGTGGTTTTCATTTATATAAGATGTTCAAGACAAATATATCTAAAGAAATAGAAAATATATTACGGGTTCAGTAAAGCTAGGATGTGTGTGTGGCAGAATTTGGGAGTGATAACTAAAGAGTAAAAAGTTTCCTTTGGGGAGATAAAAATGTTTTAAAGTGGATTGTGGTGATGGTTGCATAATTCTGTAAATATACTAAAAACCATTGAATTTTATACTTTATAGATTTTATTTATTTGCTTGTCAGAGAGAGAAAAAGAGAGAGAGCATGAGGGCACAAGCAGGCAGAGTGGCAGGCAGAGGTGGAGAGAGGCTCTCTGCCGAGCAAGGAGCCTGATCTGGGACTAGGTCCTTGGACCCTGGGATCATGACCTGAACCGAAGGCAGTGGCTTAAGCAACTGAGCCACCCAGGCATCCCGAATTTTATACTTTAAATGGATAAATTATATAGTATATAAATTATCTCAATAAGACTGTTAAAAAATAAACAAAAATATAATGATCCTATTCAGTGAAAAGTTTATACAGCGGCCACTGCTGCTTGTGCAAGGATCATACTTTGAGAAACACTGAATTTAAAGGATCTTCAGTTAAGCTTTATTTTCTCCCAAATTCCCAGTTAACCAGAGGTCTCCATTCTCTGACATTTCTAAATGAAACTTTATTATAAATTGCTCTGTGACGTAATGGGTAGCCATAGGATTTCCCTTGTTTTACCATAGGTTATGATCCCACAGTTATTAACTGGCATAGCTTAAGAGCTTTATCGTCTATTGTCTATTCTTATTCTGCAGGACGAGGAAGAGGATCTCAGGACTGAACTCAACCTTTTGAAGAAGTACTCTTTTCACAAAAACATTGTATCCTTCTATGGTGCTTTTTTCAAGCTGAGTCCCCCTGGCCAGAGGCACCAACTTTGGGTATGTATTTAATTACCTTGATCTTACTTCCTAAGACTAAGTCTCACCTGAGGAAATACATTTTCATAAACCTAGATGTCACTTTTGTGCACCTACAGGAAAATTTAAGAACTCAACTGCTCAAAGTAGTGTGACAAAATGTGTCCTGATTCCTGGAGATGGGAGTGATAAATATGGAATGATTTCAGGAAACTTAAGTTCCTGGTGAGGGACTTCAGGGTAAATAGGGAAGGACTCAAATGAATACTGAGAATATCTAACGTATTTCTTAAATATAGTTTTGCTGCTTTTAACTTTTTATGTACATTTACTGGTATATTAGAGGTATGGACTTGCAAATGATGACTGGATAAGTATAAATTCAAATTAGCGTTTGGTATTAACATAGGGGTGCATTTAATTGTTTTTAATTATATGTACTTATGTTTAAACATAACTCCTAGCCGTTCTTTTCTAAATGGTTAGTTATGTGACTTTTCCTTTATCTTTGTCATTTTATGTCTATACTATCACAAATTAGTAATCAATGAGATGTAAATTTTAGAGGGCATCTAAAACCTACACTACAATTGCCAGAATTGTTGCTGCTTCCCACTATAGCAGAAACAGTCAAATTATAAGAATATGAGTTTTGGTCAAAGATATGCTTATTTAAAAGGGGATATTTAGAACATAAGTGAAGTCAGTATACACTTGCCGGCTACATTTCCATTTCCAGGTCAAGTCAAGAATAGCATTGTTTTTTCTAAAATAATAACTAAGAATTTTCAGTTTTCATGGAAAGATTGTTACACTTCATATAATGGACTTTAGGAAGAATGTGGACATTATAGAAAGGTTTTCAACAAGGGATTGAATTGAAATCATGGTGTTCAAACTTTAGCATGCATAAGAATCTCTTGGAAAGCCTGATAAAATACAGATGGCTGAGCTCCACCCCTAGAGTTTCTGATTCAGTTGGTGTGGGCTGTGGGTCCATGAATCTGAACTTAACAAGTTCACAGGTAATATTGATGCTACTGGTCTGGGTACCACACCTTGAGAAACTCAAATCTTCACTTTAACTCTATTTTCTTCCAAATATCCATCTAAGTATATTTTCTATTTTCTGACAACTCCAATTGACATTTTACTAACTATTGCTGCATAGCTTTAATGGCTACTGGTATATTTTTGGCATACAAAATTTGTCTTTTAATATAGTTTTACTTACAATTTTTTCCTTTTACCTGTATAGCAGTCTCCTTATTGATATATTTAACAGTACTCAATTCATTCAATCATTTAACATAGCCATTCAGAACCATCTATTTGGGGCCCCTGGGAGACTCAGTTGGTTAGGCATCTGCCTTCAGCTCAGGTCATGATCCCAGGGTCCTGAGATTGAGACTCACATCTGGCTCCCTGCTCAAAGAGAAGGGAGCCTGCTTCTCCCTTTCCCTCTGCCTGAAGCTCCCCCTGCTTGTTCATGTGCTCTCTTGCTCTCTCTCTCTCTCTGTTAAATAAATAAATGAAATATTTTAAAAAAATATATTTGCCATTCCTTCTGCTAGATTCTGAGGATACATGGATGAGCTGAATAGACATGTCCCTGACCCATCAGGGCTTACAACTCACTTGCAATGACTGGTAGCACTCAAATAATGACACATATGAATAGATAATTGGTCAGAAGGGAAATAACATGCTTCTATGTGGGCAAATAACAAAGGAATCTAAATTAAGTTAGGGAACGAGAAACTCTTCTTTGAGAAAATTTCCTTGAACTGTGATCTGAAGGATGAATAAATTATTTGTGGAGCTAAGAGTTTTCGTGAGACCATTTAAAATGTCTTGCCTATGTTAATCAAAGCAAATAGGAAGTAAGTCAATGACTAAGTAATTACCATTTATCAAGTGTATGTGCCAGGCATCATGCATACAAAGCTGGGAAAATAATTGAGAGTGTGTTACATTTCTTTCAGAGTAGAGCTTTTCTGATTCAGGTAGTATTAGCAAGACTTTCAAGGTGCATCTGAATGAAGTCAGGTTTGTCATGATTTAAAATGAGTCTCTTTTCTTCCATTACCACAGTTGTACATGTTGTGCCCGTTTAAGTTAACATGAAAATTGAGCTTTAAATAAATAAAATCTTTAAAAAAAATTGAGCTTTTGTGGCTTATTTGTGTTATTAGTTTTGTTTGTTCTACTCTTATGTTTCATGAGAGCATACTCAGGTTAAAGACATGCTATAATATTAGTTGTGAACAAATGTAAATTAAAGAGTGATTAAGGTACACTTTTAAATATTCATGTTTGGGGCCTATTTTTTTTGTTTCCTTCTTCTACAGCAAAAATTAATTAACTTGCCTACAGTTCAAAAAAAGACATGTTTTGTTTTATTTACATAACAGTTTTGACACAGGCACTGATGCATAAGCCTGTGGTTAAAGAAAAGTTTGCTGGGTTGTTTATAATAGATATATTATCTTTCACATTGGCCAGTCCTCTGGTTAGCTAAAATGGGAAAGGAAATTTACTAGTTGGCCCCCTGATTCACTGATGGCAAAAAGATAAATTTTCTGAGAAATTTAGTCTATTAATAAAGTAATAACTGAATGAGATGCTGTCAATGATAGTAACCTTAAAATAGACTTTCCTTAGCAGTAAAATCATTTGGGGAAAAAAATGCCCTATAGGAATGCAATTGACAGTTTCTCCCTTGAAATTGTAGTTTGCCAGTATCTTAGGGAAAAATAGTCTAGAATTTAAAATAAAAACAAAACAATAAATACAAGTCTTGTCTTAATTTAGAGGTATAAATTCTTTTGAGATCCTGCTTTCCTGCTTTTTCACATGCAATCAAATTTTTCCCTCAGCAGTATTTTCCCCTTGAGCTCCAGTCATCACTCAGGCTTGTCTCCTTTACAAGCTTATTTCTAAAGGCATGTGATCATTCTGTTTTCAATAAACTGAATGTTCTTCCTTCTCAATATATTCAAACATTATCTATCCTTCAAGGCTTAGCTCAAATTCCACCTCCTAGTTAAATACCCCTGGTGTGATACCTCCTTTTCCTCCTTCCACAGATCCTTGGATATGTTCCAACTTTTTTTTTTAAATTCCACTAGCCTTTAGAGACCTCCCCCAGACAACTGAGCCAGTCTTTGCAGTGTCTTAATCTCTAAACATCACATATAAATACAAGCCATATGGACTGAAACTCTCCAGATATTTTCAGAGAATTACTTTCTAATTCTTTTTTTTTAAGGTTTTATTTATTTATTTGACAGACAAAGATCACAAGTAGGCAGAGAGGCAGGCAGAGAGAGAGGAGGAAGCAGGCTCCCCGATGAGCAGAGAGCCCGACGCGGGGCTCAATCCCAGGACCCTAGGATCGTGACCTGAGCTGAGGGCAGAGGCTTTAATCCACGAGCCACCCAGGTGCCCCTTCCTTTCTAATTCTTGACACTTTACTGGATTCCCTGCAGATGGTGATGGAGTTATGCGCAGCAGGCTCAGTCACTGATGTAGTGAGAATGACCAGAAATCAGAGTTTGAAAGAAGATTGGATTGCATATATCTGTCGAGAAATCCTTCAGGTGAGTCTTCATATAGTCGTTCTCCCCTGGCCTTGAAAACACCTGGGAGTAATATATGCAATGTACCTTATACCTGCCCTTATAGGGTGGTTCAAGAAATTCTGAACATAACCTCTGGATCAGGATACCAAAAACCTAAATAGCTTTAGAGAGAGCAGATTTTCAGATGATGTCCTTAACTTTGGGTAGACTGAAAGGTGGGTACCCAGACCCTTCCAAATCATGGTTTTTAATGGCTCTGTCAGAGTTAGACTGTTATGTTCATTGGATCATGGAAATAACCACTTGGAATATTTATTACATTATTTAGATTTTTAGAGTTCTTTTTTAAAAAGTAGCACTATCATTAGAGATTAAGAAAAAAGTGAGACAAAAGTCAGTTTTTTTACTGAATGGACCCAAACCATCCATAACCATTTTGCAGACAGATATCCTATTTCAATAATGTCCTGCTTTTAAAACTTGCTTTATTTTGAATACCAGACTGGATGAGAACAATCTTCTTAATCTACCACACTCAAATTTTTCTCTGTGGTTTAGGTTCTTAGGGTCACTAGAGGAGGATATTAACAGAACTGAATAGCACCACTGATACGTAATGTTAGAATGGTCTTCTTTATATCTTAATTGGATTCACTTGTTAATAGTGTAACTAGTTGAGTGTAAATTCTGGACTGAGTTTAATTTCTGATTCATCATTTATTAGCTTTGTGTCCTTGAATCAGTTACTTAATTTTCAAAATCTCACTTTCTTAATGTGGGGTGATGTTAGTACCATCCTCAAAGGATTGCAGTGACGATTTCATAATTTCCTCCATGTAAAGCAGTTAGCACAGTCCTGGGCAAAAACTAAAATAAATTTAATGACTCAATAAATACTAGCCATTTTTACTGTTACTTCTATTATTAATCCCCAGTTATTATCTGGAGAATTCTCTTTGAAGCCAGGTCACAGGTTAGTTTTAGTGGTGAATAGGTTGGATCCAGCATGGTGAGCCAATACAAATTGCAAATGCTTTAAAATGCATTTCCATATTCCCCCAAATTCTCAGCCTACAAGGTTGACTAGAAAATATTTTGGATTAAACAAATGGTTGGATGAGGAATAGAGTAAAACAATGGCTGAGCTATGATATTTAAGATGTCCATGTCTTCATTCTTATGGTTAGTTGGAAATATGGAGACTAGAAAGGAAGGTATATGGCCCAATATATCAAAACATTACTTTTTGGTGTTCTTTTCCTTTCATGGTTGTCCTGATTTATTTTCCTTTACTTATAGCCAAAAGTAGAATTTCTGGGAACTGGTTGTAGTAATTCCAGCCTAAATAAAGAATTTTGTCTGAAAAATGCAAGTCTGGACCACTTTTCTTATGAAAAGATCTTACAAAAATACTAAGCACATTAACAGAAAAAGAGGAAAAAAAATATATATATATTGATATGACTTTTTGAATAAATATGTATCTATCTATGTGCAGGGCCTAGCTCATCTTCATGCACACCGTGTAATTCACCGGGACATCAAAGGTCAGAATGTGCTACTGACTCATAATGCTGAAGTAAAACTTGGTAAGTTTGTTCTTGTACATTAAGTGAGGCCCCAAATATTTTAATGGAGATGAGTCCTTTATGATAACTATATTTTCTATCATGTCACTAACAATATCCTCTACTTATTTAGGCTGTGTTTTCCTTGCTTGAAAACCAGTCAAAATTTGAAAATTTGTTTGGGGAGGGAGGTAGGTGGAGCAGGAGAAAAATGTACCTTTTACTGCTTCTCTGAAATCATGTGGTTAAAAACTTCTAAATTCTAATGGAAGGCTTACATTTTGGTCATTGTTTTACTCTCTATTAAGTATAGATATTATATTTATTTTAATAATTGAATTGAGTATTTTGTGCAAGTTTCTATGCCATGGACAAGGAAACAAAAAGATAATTCTTCCACATCACAAAATCATATTTTCCAGATAATATCAAAGAACTTTTAAATTAAGTAAGTACAAATTGCTTCTTTGGAATTTTCCCTCAAATATTTAAAGAACTGATATTAGTTGCTCCCATAGTATCCAGATCAAGTTCAAAATTAGAAATCAAAAGACCAGAAAGTCCTTGGCTTTCTATTCCAGGATTCAAAATGGCATAATTTATTCAAAAATAACCACACATATTGTCTCACAGGCACACAGGGCACAATTTATTGCATTCTTTAATGTTCAAAATAAATATTGTTGGTTGGTTTTTAAATAATACCATATAAATAATGTCAGTGCTATGCAATGGCATATAACTTCATTGCTATAGAATATAAATCATTGGTAATTAAATCCTCTATTATTTTTAAATGATAATCAGTTCTTGCCTTCCATGTCTCTAGCATGACCTTATGATAGTTCCCATTTTCCTGATGAACAAAAACAACAACAATAAGAATTTTGTTCATTCATTGAGAATGTTTTCATTGAATATTTGTGGAAGAAGCCTGAGGTAATTGCTCTTGAAATAAGAAAAAAAAAGTAATTTCAAGAAAATGTATAATGTCTTATGTGTCTAAAAGCTACAAAACTAAGAATACAGTATTAAGACACTGTTAATATATAAGGAGAATTTTGACCTCACATTCAAGTGTACAGGATAAATAGTCTGTGACAAAGTTATATACACAGTATGTTCACACGTGAAAGCACTCCCATATATTTCGGTAAGGTTTCTGACCAACTCTACCATTTTTTTTTAAAGATTTTATTTATTTGTCAGAGAGAGAGAGAGTACACACAAGCAGGCAGAGAGGCAGGCAGAGAGAGAGGAGGAAGCAGGCTCCCCTCCGAGCAAGGAGCCCGATGCGGGACTCGACTCGATCCCAGGACCCCGGGATCGCGACCCGAGCCGAAGGCAGTGGCTTAACCAACTGAGCCACCCAGGCGTTCCCCCAACTCTACCATTTTTAACACAGAAGAAGAGACACTGTAAATAAATGAAGAGCCACTGAAAATTCTGTCACAAAGTCCACACACGAAAGCTTATGCCTTTACCCTGTAGGAGAGACCTTTTAGCACTGGATTAGAATTTAATCAGGCTTATTTTACGTACAACCATTATACATTTGGTTTTACATTTCCTCAGATTCCAGTATATGTTTAAGCAACATATCATAAGAAGATTGCAGAAGGCAAACCCAAGGACATCAGAGGGAGTGTTGAAAGAGACTGGAAAGTGACTGTATTGTAATTGCAATTGATCAGTAATCAATCTCTACTTTTATCTAAATTTCAAGCTTTTCTATTTTCCTTTTCTTCCATTCATCACCCCTTCTCATTTTCTTCCCTGAATGTCATATATATTAACTCATGGCCGACATCGGTATCTCTTGCCCTTAAAGTTCGCCCTCAAGGGATAGTAAGAATGCTGAACTTTGATTAAATGTATTCTCAAAAAAAATCTAGATAATAAGATTGTTTAACATCCAATGATGACTTTCAAATATTACAGACTTTTCTTGTTTTGTTAAATCCTTCCTTAAATCTACTTTAAACTCCTAACTTCTAAATTTTTCATTTCTTCTCTCAAGTTCTTCAAATTACTGTTCAGTCAGTGTTGTTCTCCATCCTTTAGATTCCTGGAAACCATTCTAAATTAGAAAATCTACTTCATTTTTCATCCCTGAAAAAAATTCATCTACTTTCATTTTTCATCTTATTTTTTCTGGACTAAATAACCCCAGTCTACTTTGGCCTTTTTTTTTTTTTCTGTCTGTTACTGAGGATACCATACTAAATATTTTCTTATAATGTATCCCACAGATGAATAGAAGACTGAACTTTTATAGTCTAAACTAAGATATAGATACCACAGTGAATATTTGCATCTGGTTCAGGAGATCTGTAGAAAAATTTGAACTAAATTATAGCAGAAAAATAATTTTTCTTCATTGGTGTAATAGGACTTTCTAATGTCATAAGTGAGGCTTCCTAATAAACTACTAATAGGTTTTCGATTTCTTAGATGTTGCCTATAGTGTTGGTCTTCCTCCAGCTTGGTGGCAGGTCCAAACACTACATATGTTATCACTTCAGAGGTTCGGGGTATACTGATGGAACTTTATTTTTAATATTTGTGGTAAACTCAGCCAAACCTACTGTAGATTTATAATAGCACTTCTGAGTCTCTTTCCAACATAAATAGCAGCAAAAGCCTATTTCCCAGTATTCCTGGAGTAGACTTCATGGTAAAGTTTTCTGGGCTGGAATGAAAATCTGTTATCCATTGTGGATTTTGTATTGGCTTTCCAAGTTAAAGAAATAACTTATTGAGCTTTTTGTTACTGATTAATTATTTTGACATATGCTGAATTTTGCAGTGGATTTTGGAGTGAGTGCCCAGGTGAGCAGAACTAACGGGAGGAGAAATAGTTTCATTGGAACACCATACTGGATGGCACCTGAAGTGATTGACTGTGACGAAGATCCGAGACGCTCCTATGATTACAGAGTAAGTGTGAGGATTCAGATAGTGAGAATCAAAGTTGGAAAGGACTTTTGACTAATGTTTACTTTTAAATGATAAAAGAATAAAAAACAGGCAACTCCTTTCACATTAAACTCTAGTAAGAAATACTAGCTGCTATTCATATAGTGGTTTGATTATATGCATAAATATAGTATTTTTTTAAGAATTTAGACAAAGTAGACTATTGGAATTATCTATATTTGAAGAATAATGTCTAGTTCATGTTGCTTGCAACACCTTGGGGGAAATATTATATTATGTGGCTTTATATGGAAATTTAACTTCCATGGACAGAGAACTTTGTAAACTTAAAAATGAATGAATGTAAAGCCAATTATTAATCCCCACACTTAACTCCAAAAAGAAAAAAATAATAATTTGATTACTCAGGGTAAAGGAGAAAATCCTTGTCATGGTTCACCTCCAAACCACTGAAAATCAGTGGGACAGAATAATTAAGAAATAATTCTTGCTATTTATTAAAATTTCCACTGAAACTGCAATTTGGACAGTATACATCTATGTACACATTTCAAAAAAGCTGATGTGGAAAGAGAACTCTCCATTTGCTATAGACTGGAAAAACCACACTCACTTTTCACATCATAAGTCATCCAAACAATTCATTGTGGTTTTAGTTGTGTGGAACCTAGGACTCAATACTTGAAGTTGATTAATTCAAGTCTCATCTTTTTTCCCTTTCCCTTAAATGCCCTTTGCTTTATCTGCAAGCAGATCTATTGAGAGCTTATAGTCTAGTGCTGTTACATGCTATGGAGATGGTGGAGGCATAATGTTCTTTTAAGTGGCTTGCGGTAAACAACTTTTAAGTGGATGCTTTATATCTGAACAACTTTTTGCAGTCTTCCAAGGACTTTCTCTTATATTAGTTATTTATTTTTACTTTTTAGCCCCATGTAAATTGAAAGAAAACTTCAACTTACACCATCACACTAATTCTTTGAAGCTAAGAAATCTATTAACTGAGATTCTCAGAATTCAGTTAACTTTTGTAGAAGTCATCTAGCCAGGCAGTATAACTCCAGCCCTGTGCCCTTTCCACATTCTAAAAAACAAAATACAGTTAATAGTGAGGATAATTTCCTTGAGCTTCTTAGAATATAATTTCCTGGAATAAAAATAGTTATATTCTCAATTTACTATATTCAAGGAACTGACTTAAAGTGATTTTATGTATGTTATTCCATTTAATACTTATACCAGTGCTATGAGATGGATATCATTATTATCTCAATTTTATATAGAGTGAAACTGAGGTACAGAGAGTTAAATCATTTACTTAAGATAGCACAACTAATACATCTATGTCATAGGGTTTCTTCACAGCAAGCTCCTTTTGCTATTTCAATAAGGCAACAATAGCAATACATTCAAGATGAATTTTCCTTACACTGAACACGATCCCATATCATCCTGTTGTGTAGTGCAGTTACTGGCTGATCAAAGGTCAGATAATGTCTTCCTATAATGCCAGCCTATAATGAAGGCTCATTGTAGAAAACCCATAAAATGGCTCTGGCATTGACAATTTCCCACCTGAAGATTGTTTTGAGATTCTAAATACTATTAGTTTCCCATTGTTAAATGACTTTTTGGGGTCATTTTTTTCTTTCGCAGAGTGATGTGTGGTCTGTGGGAATCACTGCTATTGAAATGGCCGAGGGGGCTCCTCGTGAGTAAAAATGTTTATTTATTAAAAAGTTGGGGAAGCATGCTGTACAAATCTGCCACTTGTACCAGTTAGATTGTACTGGTCACACAGGTGTCACACTATTGCCAAACTGTAAATAGTGGCCTTTTCAATGATTATCAAATGTTCTAGTCAGAATGGCCAGATATATATATAGAGAGAGAGAGGTTGTGTTTTCCCTTATGTTACCTTATTTTAGGCTATTGAGTATTGTTTCAATTTGGCTTCAAAGTATTTGGTACTTACAGTCCTGACTAATGAGAATCTATAGCCATTCCAGCACATAGTGATTGGTAGAATATTTAGGTTCCAGAACATTTATAGTCACACACTGCTACTGTTTCAGAATGTGATAGTTAAGAAAATCTTCCCGTGTTTCTTTGAAATCAAACCAATCCTTAAACTTGGGAAGTCAGGTTTTTGTTTTGTTTTGTTTTGTTTTTCATTTGAAGTCACTCCAACCCACCGTTGGTGCCTTCCTTGATCCTTTTAGCCACTCCAGTGGCCTTAATTGCTCAGAAGGCTCAATTTCCTCTTGTTTCTCCCTCATCTCCATCACTTAAATGATCTGTCAGCATCCTGTTCTCTCAGGACACTGCTTTCTGATAGGAAAGTGGAATTGAAATGTGAACTTGGCTATAAATGATTGATAACCATCTAATGTATGACCCCCATAAACAGAGCATAATAACTGTCTTTAATATCTTAATCTAAAGATATAAATGATAAATACATCCCTGATATTGTTGGTTGAGAAGTGAGGAAATGCCTGGAGTATTTGTTAGGGGGCAGGCAAGTGGGGGTGGAATTTCTTTGCTTCCACATTTCTGAGATCCTGTAGGTTCCGATGTTCCTGCATGCTCTATCTGCACAATGTTCACCCAACAAACTTTATAAATTTGGACTATCTTAGTACTGTGTTTCAAGGCCAATGGGAGTAATTTCAAGGGGTAAAAATAGTAGTAACATGATTGTTAAGAATTCCTGTTGTCCCTTAGAATATCACAGAAGAGGCTTAGATTAAATCTGGGATAAATATTAAGATCAGGTTACTGCTTCCTCTCTTTTAGTGCCCTCCAAAACTACAAAGTATCTATGTTGGGTAAATAAAAAGTCAATGATGGAAAATTATATATATATCACATGTATAAAATTGAAATAAGAAAGGGAAGATGCATATTATTCCTCTTCATCTCTAGATTGTTTTTGTGAACATACTTGTATTATATTGATCAACAACTTCTCCTCCTTTTTCTATCTCTTTCTTCTCCCACCTTACCCTTCCTTTCCCCTCCCCCTCCCCTCCTCCTCATTTTCCTCCTCTTCTTCTAGTTCTCCTCATCCTCCTCCTCCTCCTCCTCCTCCTTCTTCTTCTCTCTTCCTCTTGTTTCTCTTCACAATATGTATTTCATATGAGTATTGATGCATGTTTTTATTTAGAATACATGACTGCATCAAGTAGAATATTTTTTCTATTGTTTCTGAATGTTCCTTATCATTTCTTTTCCAGAAAACTAGCTTTCTACATTTTGCAGATTTGTATTTCCTGATTCATCTTTATTTTGTTTCATTTTTTCATGCAAAAATATTAAATCATAGGAGAAAACTACAGAAGGATTACAGAGGAGTTTTACATGGAGTACACAAATGGCAAACTTCTTACAAAATATGTGTAAGGATCAGGAGCTTCTTAATTCACAATGAGAAAAAAAAAATAGGACAAACATTCCTAAATAAGTAATTGGAATGCTGCAACTTTGGTCATGAGCAACTTGAAATAACCACACTGCTAAAACATTGGTCTTTTGCCAGCCTCTGATGTTGCCTGGAGTATTAACTTTGGATGGAAATGATTGTCATTAATTTAAGTGCAGAAATCCTCCAGGTTTTGATAATTATCATCTCAGAGGGGGTGGCTCTCCAAAGTGACAATTATATGATAATTGCCTCTGAGGTCCAGATAACAAAATTTCTTTCTTTCATTGGTGAGTCTCTCCCAGAAAAATAAGGGGGAAAAAAAGGAAAGTAACTTCCAACAGAAAGGGTGCTATAGAGGCTCTCGGAGGAGAGAAGATCTGTACCATCCCACACCAGGACCTTCTTAAGGACTTGTGTTCATTCTTCTTTATTTGTTTTTTTTCTTAAATTTCACATATGAGTGAAATCAAATGGTGTCTGTCTTTCTCTGACTTATTTCACTTAACATTATACCCTCTATGAAATGTATTTTTAAAAGAGATTTGCTATTTCAAAGGAATGATACTCTAATGTGAAATATTTAGGCATGTTAGATATGGGATAAATGGAGCATTTACTGGCATTCCTAAAGTTAGACTATATAGGAAATGTCCACTGTTTGACATAGCTCTTGTACCCACATGCTCCATTCTTTTGTGGACTTCTCATTTCCCTTAATGAAAACTTCCTTAGTCTGTGATCTATGTCTTGACCCCTGAGGATGTTGTTAGTTGACTACATGATGTTCAAATGTTAATAAATGACAACTGCTTAATACTGTACAAACCCACTTAAAATATGTTTAAAGGACAGATTCTGGTGACTGACTGGACAGAGTAAAGAAATGAAGAGAATCAAATATGATCCTGATTGAGTGATTGATTGATTGATTTGAGAGAACAGGGAGAGTATGTGAGAGAGTGTGCATAGAGATGCAAGCCCATGAGTTGTGGGAGAGGGGCAGACAGGGAGGGAAAGGGAGAGGGAGAGAATCTCAAGCAAATTCTACACTGAGCCTGATGCAGGGTTCAATCTCAGGGTGCTGAGATCATGACCTGAACCAAAATAAAGAGTTGGACACTTAACTAACTGAGCCACCCAGGCACTCTTGATCCTGATCTTTTCAGCTTGGGGATAACTCTGCCCTCAATTATAAACCTGTACATCTATTAATTTATACCTATATAATTGAAAAAAAATAGCTTGACCTTTTATTTTTTTTAAAGATTTTTTTTTATTTATTTGACAGAGAGAGATCACAAGTAGGCAGAGAGGCAGGCAGAGAGAGAGAGGAAGGGAAGCAGGCTCCCTGCTGAGCAGAGAGTCTGATGTGGGACTCGATCCCAGGACCCTGAGATCATGACCTGAGCTGAAGGCAGAGGCTTAACCCACTGAGCCACCCAGGCGCCCTAGCTTGACCTTTTAACAATCACCTTTATATCATTCCATTACAAGAAGCCAGTTTGGCATTGTAGTTTTTCTAGACATGCATTTTGGAGGATAAAGGGTGACTCTAAAGAGTCAATAACATCAAATTGTCCTCACATAAATGACACACTTGTAGTACTAGATAAAACTTGTTGGTGAGGATATGGAGAAAAAGTAACCCTCTTGTACTGTTGGTGGGAATGCAAACCAGTACAGCCACTGTGGAAAACAGGATGAAGGTTCCTCAAAAAGTTAAAAATAGACCTACTTTATGATCCAGTAATCGCAGTACTGCGTTTTTACCAAAAAACTACAAAAAACATTCATTTGAGAAGATATATCCACCCCTACATGTATTGAAGCATTATTTTCAATAGCTAAATCACAGAAGTGTCCATTGATAGATGAGTGGATAAAGAAGATGTGGCATGAAATCTTGCAATTTGCAACAATATGAATGGAGCTAGAGTATTATGCTAAGTGAAATAAGTCAGTGAAAGAAAGACAAATACCATATGATTTCACTCATATGTAGAATTTAAGAAACAAGGCAGGCAAAGAGAGAGAGGGAAAGAGAGAGGCATATCAAGAAACACACTCAACTATAGAGAACAAACTGATGTACCAGAGGGGAGGTGGGTGGGAAAAGGGGTGAAATAGGTAATGGAGATCAAAGAGCACAGTTATCATGATGAACACTGAGTAATGTATAGAATTGTTGAATCATTATATTATATACCTGAAACTAATATAATACTGTGTGCTAACTATCCGGGAGTTAAAATTAAAAACTTAATAAAACAAAATATATCAAGAAAGAAGAAATTTAAAGTATGGCTCTCCTTTGGAAATTTTCTGCACTGCCAGTTTTCTTTACTCAAAACTCAAGAGGAAATAAGCAAAGTGAGAGACATACTTAAATGCTTATAAGAAAGCTTACAGAAAATTTTCAGACCAACACAGTAATGAATTTATATAGCATATAATGGAATAGGCTTTTCTTTATGTAGCTGTGTGTTTCAAAAAGTGAATGGAAGTCCTGTAATTTGGCACAGATATGAAGTGCCAGATAGTTAAAACTTTATTGTAATACCAATAGCTAATATTTATTAAGTGCCCACTCTATGCCAGACACTTTTACATGTAGGTCAATCCTCATGGCAACTCTTTTAAGGAATTCTTGATTTTTTTTTTCAGATAAAGAAATCAGGGCAAATTAGGTTAAATAATTTGCCTGAGTCACAAAGAAAGAGCTAGGATTTGAACCCAGGTGATCTTACTCTAGAGGGTGTGTTTTAATAGTTACACTAAATCTACTTCTTTTCTTAGGACTGTCAGTTTCCAAAACAGATTATTCTCATATTTTTAGACTGATAAATTATTCCTTATACATTGTTGGGCTTAGCTATTAATTTGGTTGACTTTTTAAGCCTGTAATGACATATTTCAATTTTTATAAGTGTAGATACCTACAACACAATATAGATAAGTGTTTGTCTCTATTTTTGTTTACTTCTCTAGATAGAAATCATCAATCATACATTTTGAAATTTTTATCCAGTGTAGTTTTTTTAATTAATTTGCCACACCTGGCAATGGCAAAGCTTGAGGATCTTATATAATGGACTGTTTACATTAAAACGAACTTTTCCTGTCATTATATTATCTTGTATCTATTTACTCCTTAATGTCTATTCAGCATGATATGTGAAAGAGCACCGAGAATCCCCTCTAGAATGAGGAGTGTGCTCTGTTGTTACCTTTCTCATTCATTCTAAACATACTATTTTCCTTTGCAGCCCTGTGTAATCTTCAGCCTCTGGAAGCCCTCTTTGTTATTTTGCGGGAATCTGCCCCCAAAGTCAAATCCAGTGGATGGTAAAGATGAATGATTTAATCTCCTAAACACATTAACTTGACACTTTTTATGTAGCAAATGAGTTTTAATTAATTTTGTAGTCTTGCTTCAACATCTTTGTTGGACAATATTGCCTTAAAGCTAATACATTAATTGGGGGTCTTAATGATTAGTTTTCATTGAAAGCTAGCTAGCCAACTAGATATAAGTAATACCTTCCATAGTATATTATGATGACCTCACTGACCTGCAATTAATGGCATGTTTAGTTGTTTCTCCATTAGTGGCATGGACCAACAGAAATCATTTGTGACATTTCTCACTGTGCCCAGATAAGTAGTCAGTGATTGTGATATACAGCTCAGTTGTTTGGCCCATTAAACTAAACATCCACAGACCTAGAGAAGAGGATTTGTTCTCTCAGGGTGTTAAAGGCCAACTAACTTGGGAACGCTTTATACTGAAGCTTTTTGGTTGAGTGTCAGAAGCTCTTGCTTATTTTTAGTATTTATAGCTTGCACTGCTAGAAGTGGTGGCTGTGATTTGATTGCTGACATTTTTCCTTGTGATTCAATATAACCCTTCCCACAGATTCAGGCTTTCTGGACACTTCTGTTTTCATGGGCCATATTATAAGATTAGCCCTGGTGCTACTAACACCCATTTTTGGATCATTACATTTACAACTATGTAGCTTAAAAGACATGTGGTCAAAAGTGAAACATTCAGACTTCAAAGTGTGACTTTTGTGGGCTGACCAATCTAGATACATGTTCTATATATATCACATTAACCACTCCATTGCCATCCTACCACTTAACTTTGTACCATGTACATACTTCTGAACTCATTGAAGTTCTACTACTATTTAAATGCCATTGACTCTGGTTTATCTGAGATTGAGTGGCATTGTTGTATAATGTATATTGTCAAACTTTAAGACATATGACAATTTATAACTAGAGGCAACTTTCTCCAAAAATATGACCTGAAGAGTAGCATATGTGTGAGGATGGGAGAAGATATGGCAAGCCTGAGGATGCTCTTTTATCCCTTTGACTCATTTCTTTTAGGTCTCGCAAGTTCCACAACTTCATGGAAAAGTGCATGATAAAAAATTTCCTATTTCGTCCTACTTCTGCAAACATGCTTCATCACCCTTTTGTTCGGAATATAAAAAATGAAGGACATGTTGTTGAGTCACTGAAGAAGCATCTTATTGGAATCATTAAAAAGAGACAGAAAAAAGGTTGGCATGTGTCAACTTTCATCTTACCGGATGAATATTTAGATGAGAGCAGATTTTATTCATTTTTGTCTCAAAAAATAATATTTAAGAATTAGATTAAAAGTAAAAATTCTGAGGCCTTCCACATTTAGTTTTTCCACTAATACACCACGTACAGTTAATTCTCTCTCACCTGATCATCTGTATATATATGATTATAAATTGCTGCCAATTACAACTGACAAGTGTTCATATTTATAAAAACCTTGAAAGCATCAAGAATAATTTTGTGATATGCCAATTTTATTTTAAGAAAACTCCTAACTAAAGAGATAAAATAAATGAAAAGGTAATAAAATCTATATCTTACTATCCTTTTCTTGGATATTTTAACTCTCTCCAATGAGATAAATAGATTTGTAATTATGTATCTTTTGATTGTTAATTTTGAAGTAATTTCTGTGTACCATATTAAGTCTGTTTTGTGTACTAATCTCCAACTATATGAGAAGTAATTAAAAGGACTAATTTATACAAGTAAAAGTTAATTTCTATATATTAATACCAAAAATGGCAGGATGGATTTTCATCAAATCCAGATTAAACTACTTAGGAAGTTTTAACTTTGTATTGTATGGCATACTCCACATTTAATCTGGGGCACCATGGGCAGTATTGAGAGTGGTGATATAAGGGAAAAGGGGAAACTGGAAACAGAATTCATTCTCAGAATAGCTACGGGATTGATCTCAGTAGAGTTTCTTCCATCTACATAATTATATGTATCCTATTTTGGAGTGAGAAACAGCAGAAATTAATTTATTTAACCATGGGCGAAAATTCATTGGATCAGCATCACAAAAGCCAGCTAGTCTCAAATGGGTGTGGGAAGGCCCCATTTCTATTTGAGAATTTGCTAATTTCCAGAGTTGCAAGACTTCCAAAATGTTACCTGCAGGAAAAGTCACATTTATGTGGGAATTACATAGATGTAAATACAGTTGCCTTAAACATTTTTACTTGGGAAATTCAAAAGAACACTCTTGTTTGTAAGCTTCTATATTTCAGTACAGCATAGCAGAAATGAAAGAAGCTGAACATGTTGAATGTGTTAAGTATAAAATTCAGAATTTAAATTTTTACCTTCTCATTGGAAAGACCGATGTTCCTGACCCTCATTTTCAATGACCCTCATTGAAAGGACCAAAGATAGAGTAGGCCCAAGCCATAAAGTCCTCACATCTAGATCACACAACTTTACGCCATGCTCAACAACTATCTAAAGAGTTTCACTTGTCCCTTTCTCCCTTTGTCTTTCTCAATTATTTCTCTTTAGATTGCAGGTACCAAATTGCTAAATTCCCTTTCCTGTGCCTAGAGAAATTAGTCTGTATGTAATAGCTTCATTGTACTGCAAAAGTAGGCCTAGGAACCAGGATATGGTCCATATTACCAACCAAGTGTGATTTGAAGGGTTACCCTCTTGTCCTTGTGATTCACGTGACATCCTGAGCATTAAAGGGTGAAAACTGACTAAGGTAGATTACACTAACCTCTGCTGATTTTTTTGCATTATTTTTTCTCTTTTATAAAAAGGAATACCTCTGATCTTTGAAAGAGAAGAAGCTATTAAGGAGCAATACACCATGAGAAGATTCAGGTGTGTTAGATAAATCACAAATATAATTTGTTGTTAGCAATTTATGTAAGACAGTTGATTCTATCCCATTAACATTTGACTCAGAAGAGCTTAATCCCTCCTAATACAACAAATAACAGCTCTCTCTATATTTTCAAAAGATATTTGAATGGAAATTTTGAGGAAAAATTGTTCTTACTACTCAAAGATTCCTTAATTTCTAGCAATAGAATGAGAAAGTAGATTATTAGATAATTAATACTGAGTATATTAGTAATACAAAGAATATTTCAGACATTACAGGAATGATTCAAAAAAGATTTACTGAAAATATCTTTATTGCACAAAATTTCCATTTTTTAAAATAAAGGCATTTCCCCCAAATGGCTTCACTCCAACTGACAATACTTATATAGCAATCATTTATATGTTTTTTCTAGAGGACCTTCTTGTACTCATGAGCTTCTGAGATTGCCAACCAGCAGTAGATGTAGACCACTTAGAGTTCTGCATGGAGAACCGTCTCAGCCAAGGTGGTTACCTGATCGAGAAGAGCCACAGGTCCAGGCACTTCAGCATCTACAGGGAGCAGCCAGGGTGTTCATGCCACTACAGGCTCAAGACAATGCACCTAGGCCTCTACAGGGGCAAGCCCAGGCACCTCAGCGACTACAAGGGGCAGCTCGGGTGTTTATGCCACTACAGGCTCAGGTTAAGGCTAAGGCATCTAGGCCCCTACAGATGCAGATTAAGGCACCTCCACGACTACGGAGGGCAGCCTGGATGCTTATGCCACTACAGGCTCAGGTTAAGGCATCTAGGTCTCTACAGGTACAGGTACAGGTACCTAAAGAGCAGCAGGCTCAGGCTCAGTCCCAGACATCAGAAGAGCCACAGGATCTGGACCAGGTACCAGAGGAATTTCAGGGGCAAGATCAGGTACCTGAACAACAACAAAGGCAGGGTCAGGCCCCTGAACAACAGCAGAGGCAGAACCAGGTACCTGAACAGCAGCTGGAGCAGAACCAGCTACCTGTACAGCCAGAGGTACAGGAACAGGCTCCTGAGCCCACACAAGCAGAGACTGAGTCAGAAGAACCTGAGTCCTTACGAGTACATGCCCAGGTATTCCTGCCCCTACTCTCACAGAACCACCATGTGCTGTTGCCACTACATTTGGATACTCAGGTACTCATTCCAGTAGAGGGACAAAATGAAGGGTCACCTCAAGCACAGGCCTGGGCACTAGAGTCCCCACAGGCAGTTGGCTCAGTTCAAGAACTGATAGAGGGACTATCAAGAGGCTTACTTCGAGCACCAGACTCACATAACTCAAAGCCACTTGGTCCATTGCAAACCTTGATGGAAAACCTGTCTTCAAACATGTTTTACTCTCAACCAGAACAAGCACGGAAGAAAAAATCAAAAGTTTCTAGTCTAAGGCAGGCATTGGCAAAAAGACTATCACCAAAGAGGTTCCGGGCAAAGTTATCACGGAGACCTGAAGAGTTTGAGCTCTCAGATTTAGAAGCCTGCAGGCGAAGGCGCCAGAACAGATGGGAGGATATCTTTAATCAGCACGAGGAAGAATTGAGACAAGCTGCAAATGTAAGAGTTTCTGATATTTTAATTGAATCAAATATGCAGAGAAAACATGCTAGTTCATGCCTGTGTTTCCCTCTGTTAAGACCAAATGAAATAAATATCCTTGTGTCCCAGAGAAGATTCATTTAATAATTTGTAGTTCAAGTAAATCATCTTAAAATTTCCAGATAATAATGACTAAATTTGAAAAAGAAAAATTGGCTTGAATGATCCAGGTAATTGCTTTTTATCTTTGTAGAGATATAACTTTAATTATTAACTAACAAAGGGACACCATAAGGACTTTTAAAATTAGTATATTTGATCTTTGAAAATTACTGGAGCATAAGGAATAACATGGAGGACATTGGGAGATGGAAAGGAGAAGTGAATTGGGGGAAATCGGAGGGGGAGACGAACCATGAGAGACGGTGGACTCTGAGAAACAAACTGAGGATTTTGGAGGGGGGAGGGGAGAGGGATGCAGGGTTGGGAGGGCCTGGTGGTAGGTATTAAGGAGGGCATGTATTGCATGGAGCACTGGGTGTGGTGCATAAACAATGAATTCTGGAACACTGAAAAGAAATAAAATTAAATTAAATTTAAAAAAAGAAAATTACTGTCATAGTTCAAAATTTTAAAAATAACTCATTAAAAATAAACACACAAAAACTTTGGTTTTGTTCCCCAACCTCTAAGTTAATTTGTCTTTCTTCCCAAAGAATGCTGAACTGTGCTATTTAAGTGAATTATACCATTTCTTTTTTCATTTTAGGATGTTTAAATCCAGGCTAAAATGAAACAATAAAAGCAATTTCCAAAGCATTTTGTATTTACCATATGTATGACTTGTCTCACTAATTTTCCACCATTTTACATAATTAATCAATGAAATTTCTGCATAGAACATGACACAAGTTACAAATTCATCTCTGTACTCTTGAAATGCAATATGTTACTATCTTTATCTTATTTTCCAATAGTCAAAACTTCATTCTTTCAAATTCTCTAATATAAGTGGATATAATTTGGCTGGAGTTGATGAATTCTATCCGGCAGATTTAATCTGACAAAGAAGGGTTTCTGGGCTTTATAAGCAAATTAAAGAGGTCAATAGGATTAAGAGAGCACTTGTTTTCTAATACTTCATAGCATCCATTTATATAAAGGAATCCTAAATTAAAACCTGGTATCAATTAAACGAATGTTATTTCCCTAACATGTTTAACTCGAGAAAAGGTAAAAGCAGCAAGTGAAGAAAGGCCCCAAAGAGGAAACGGATGCATATTCCCAATAAAGGTGGAGATAGGAAGAGAAAGAAAACATATAGAGAAGTGGAGGTATGAGTCTAGAGTGGTGATATTTGCCTGAAATTAAGGCATCTAAAATGCTAGTGACTAATTTCAATGAGGAATAGTAACAATTAAATCTAATGGGTTTTGCACTTATGAAAAAGACTTGTATGCATCCCTGCAAGACTCATAGTATTAGTAGCACGACACATACTTATTGTCATTTGGTGTTTTAATTATGCATGTGAGAAGCCATTCTAAAATGGAAGAAAAAGTCAATAAATAATAGTTACCAATTCCATGACCCTAAGATCTTGTACAGGCATTCATATCTTTATATGTGATTTTTAAAGAAAATATAAAAAAAATTGATAATAACTCAAAGTCATAGATCTTGTGAATTGCCTAAAAATTTGTTAGCATTTAGAAATTTATGTGAATTTTTCAACTAACCAAAGAAAAGAAAACTCATTTTCATTACTCTTTATGAGTTGAAGGAATAATATTGATTGGTTTAAATGTGAAAACAGGAAATTTCCTAAGCTTCTGGAGCTCAGTTAGTGAGAAATATTTTCACTGCTATATTACAGATCTTCCATTGCACAAGCAGACCGAACTTCATAGTTATAACTGACTAGTTAATGTGACAGTTTGGGGTTATGAGTTAAGCCTTAAACCAGATATTCTTAACCTGGGTCTAATAGATTGGCTGCAGGTGGTCAATGATCCCCCTGAAAATATATGCAGACATGTGTGTCTGTATGCAGTTAGAATCTCCTCAGATTCCAAAGGGAATCCAGAACCAAAAACTATTAGAGTCTACTGGTTTAAATCAATTTTAATATTTGAAAATTATTCTTCTAAGTTGTACATTGTGAAGATAGTCGCTCCTATCATTTGCATTTTAACAATTAAAATATTTATTTTCCTTTTTGTTTCAAAGGACAAAGAAGATGAATCATCAGACAATGATGAAGTATTTCATTCAATTCAAGCTGAAGTCCAAATAGAACCATTGCAACCATATGTTCCAAATCCTAAAGGAAATGAGGTAAGTATCTCAGTATGAATTGCTGTGACATTAATAAGTGCCTAGAACAGTGGTTCTTAAACTTTTTGGTCTCAGGATATCTTTATACTCTTAAACATTGAAGACCTCAAAAACTTTTGTTTATGTGCATTGTCATTCAATATTTAATGAATTAGAAATTAAAATAAAAATTTAAAATATTAATTCATTTAAAGGTAAACAAAAGTATTCTATGTCAACATAAGAAACAAAATTTTAATAAAAAACGATTTTCCATTTTACTTAATGGAAAACAACTGGATTGTCATATCTGTTTCTGCATTCAATTTTTTGCCAAATGTTTAGGTTGAAGTATATGAATAAAAGCTGGCTTCTCACATATAAGTAGTTGGGAAGAAAGGATTTTCATAGCTTTTTCAGATAACTGTGGAAATTCTTTGATAATATACCAAAACTACAGAAGTGGAATTTAAAACCCTATCAGTAAAATTTGCTATTCAGAAATATTAAAATCCATTGTTCTATTGTATGCTATGAATAGATGTTTTCCTCATTCGTAATTTTTTATCCTCATACATTGGTCAGTTGGAAACCATTGGTTCAGTGTGTATGTAGATGTTTCCAAATATTTACACATTTCATTACACAACATCAATAAACAGCATTTGTTAATGTCACCAATTTCATCAGAAAAATTATTGAGTATTGATAAGTCAAGTACATGGTGACAGATAATAAATCTAAAATTTTAATTTTCACTTCAAAACTCAATTTTATCATTGCTAACAAATAACATCAGTTGTTCTTTTTTCCTTGAATTGACAGCCTAACTTCATTGATTTTAAATAAAATGCCTGCCAAATACCCAAGTTGAATAATCATAGTTTTTTTTGTCATTCATTCTTTTAAGTAAAATATTGCCCATAAAAACCTTGAGCAGGGGGCGCCTGGGTGGCTAAGTGGGTTAAGCCTCTGCCTTTGGCTCAGGTCATGATCTCAGGGTCCTGGGATCGAATCCCACATCGGGCTCTCTGCTTGGCAGGGAGCCTGCTTTCTCCTCTCTCTCTCTGCCTGCCTATCTACCTACTTGTGATCTCTCTCTGTCAAATAAATAAATAAAATCTTTTAAAAAAAAAAAAAAAGCTTGAGTAGTTCAGCTTGTAACACAATCACACATATCTTTTCCCTTGATTATTCTGGGATGTAGTTTATAACAGGGTCTGGGTCATTTAATCTGTAGTTTATTTATTTTTTTTTTTTT